AGAAGCTGTATGTTTTGCCTCTAAGATCAAGAACAAGGCAATGGTGTCCTCTCTCACCATTCCTGTTCATTGTTGTACTGGAAGTTCTAACTAATGCAATAAGGTGGGAAATGGAAATAAAGTGTATACATATTTGGAAGGAAGAAATAAAACTACCTTTGCTAGCAGATGACATGATTATTTTAAAAATCCCAAAGAATCAACCAAAACACCCTCCTAAAATTAACAAGCAATTATAGGAAGGTTTAAGGATATGAGGTTAATATATGAAAGTCAATTGTTTCCCTATATACTATCAATGAACAATTGGAATTTGTAATTAAAAACAATACCCAAAAATGAGATACTTAGATATAAATTTAGCAGAATGTGTATAAGATCTATATGAGGAAAACTACAAAACTCTCAGGAAAGAAATCAAATAACTGGAAAGTGATTCCATGTTCATGGATAGAAAGACTCAGTATTGTTAAGATACCAGTACTTCATGACTTGATCTATAGATTCAATACAATACCATTCAAAATCCTAGCAATTTACTTTGTGGAAATCAACAAAGTAACTGAAGTTTCTGTGGAAAGGCAAAAGACCCAAAATTGCCAACACGGTATTGAAGAATATCAACAAAGTTAGAGAACTGAAACTACCCAACTACCCAACTTCAAGACTTGCTATGAAGCTATAGCTATAGTAAGCTATAGTAATTTAGACAATGTGATGTCATTGAAAGAATAGACAAATGGATCAGTGGAGCATAGCCCAGAAATAGACCCACACAAATATAGTCAACTGATCTTCAACAAAAGGATCAAGGACAATTCATTGGAAAAAGGATACTCTTTTCAACAAATGGTACTGGAACAACTAGACATCTGCATGCAAAAAATGACCATAAAAAAGTAACTTACAAAGTGGATCAAAGACCTGAAATGCAAAACTATAAAACTTCCAGAAAGTAACATAGGAGAAAATCTAGGTGACCTTGGGTTTGTTAATGAGTTTTCAGATACAACAAAAATATGCTCCATGAAAGAAAAAGTTGATAAACTGGACTTTATTACAAGTGAAAAATTCTGCTGTGCCAAAGACACTGTTAAGAGAGTGAAAAGACAAGCCACAGACTGAGGGAAAATATTTGCAAAATGCATATCTGATAGAGGACTTGTACTGAAAATATACAAGTAACTCTTAAAACTCAACAATAAGAAAATGAACAATGCAATTAACAAATGGGCAAAAGAGCTAAACAGATACCTCACCAAAGAAGATACATACCTGGCAAACAAGTATGTGAAAAGATGCTCAATTTCAAATGTGATTAGGGAATTGCAAATTCAAACAACAAATGAGATACCACTGCACACCTATTAGATTGTGGAGACAGCAGGAACTCTCATTCATTGCTCGTGGGAGTGCAAGATGGTACAGTCACTTTGGAAGACAGTTTGGCAGTTTCTTAAAAGGCTAGATGTAGCCTTACTCTAAAATCCAGCAACCACACTCCCAGGTATTATGCAAATGAGTTGAAAACTTATGCCACACAGAAACCTGCACACAAGTGTTTTTAGCAGCTCTACTCACAATTTCCAAAAATTGGAAGCAACCGAGATGTCCTTCAACAGGTGAATTGAGAAACAAGCTCTACATCCATACAACAGAATATTATTCAATGATACATGAGCTGTCAAGCCATGAAAGGTCTTAGAGGAATCTTAAATGCATATTTCTAAGTGAAAGAAGTCAGTCTAAAAAGACTGCATACCCTATGATTCCAACTATATGACATCTTGTAAAAGACAAAACTATAGAGACAGTAAAAAGTCAGTGGTTTTTGGGAGCTGTGGGAGTGGAGAGGGAGAAAGATGAATAGGCAGAGTAGAGGATATTTAGGGCAGTGAAACTATTCTGTATGATACTATAATGGTGGATATGTGTCATACATTTGTCATAACACATAGAACTATGCAAAGAGTGAGTTCTCATGTAAACTATGTACTTTATTTAATATTAATATATCAGTATCGGTTCATTAATTGTAACAAATGCACCACACTAATGCAAGACCTTAATGCCAGGAAAAAGTGGGGGTGACGTGAAGAGGGGATATATGGGAACTTTGTGTACTTTCTACTCAGTTTTTTGGTAAGCCTCTGTTGAAAATCAATAGACCCATAAGTGTGGGTCCTTGTCTGTGTTTTGACTCTCCATCCTATTCCATTGGCATATTTGTCTAACCTTTTTCCAACACCACACTATCTTGAAAACTTTAGTTTTATATTGCCTTGAAATCACATAGTGTGTGTCTTCCAACATCTTTCTCTTTCAAAATTGTTTTGGCTATGCTGCTTCTTTGCCTTTCTTTAGAAGATGTATGACTATTCAGATTATCTATCTTCCTTGAGTAAGCTTTGGTAATTGTGTCTTTCAAATAATTCATCCATTTCATCTAAGATGTTAACTGGTGTAAAATTATTCATAATATCTCCCTTTTATCCTTTTAATATCTGTAGCATCTATAATAAAGACCTCTCTTTTGTCCCTGTATTAGTAATTTGCATCTTCTCTCTTTTTATCTTTGTTAGTCCTGCTAGAAGTTTATCAATTTTATTGATTGTCTTCGAGAACCAGGTTCTGGTTTCATTCTTTTTTTTTTTTTTTTTTTCTTTTTTTGCGGTACGCGGGCCTGTCACTGTTATGGCCTCTCCCCTTGCAGAGCACAGGCTCCGGATGCGCAGGCTCAGCGGCCATGACTCACGGGCCCAGCTGCTCCGCGGCATGTGGGATCTTCCCGGACCGGGGCACAAACCTGCGTCCCCTGCGTCGGCAGGCAGACTCTCAACCACTGCGCCACCAGGGAAGCCCCATTCAGTTTTTTCTATTGATTTTGTTTTCCATTTCATTGACTTCTGTTTTTTATTATTCATTCCTTCTATTTACTTTCGGTTTATTTTGTTCTGTGTTTTTCTAGTTTCTTAAGGCATTGATTTGAGATTGTTCCCCTTTTCTAATATAGGTACTTAGTGATATAAATTTCCCTCTAAGTGCTTCTTTAGTTGAATCCCACTAATTTTGATATGCTGTGTTTTTATTTTCTTTTAAATTACTAGATACTTTAAATTATTATAATTATTATTAAGTTATTAGATACTTTCTAATTTCTCTTTTGATTTTTTCCTTCAATCCACAGGCACTTTATGAATTACCAGCATATTAAAAGTGGTTTCTTCTTGTGCTGGAACTGTGTGAATGGAATGTTTCTTTATTTTCTATATACTTTTACATTTTTATTTTTTCTTTTTCTGTGTTTTCCAATTTTCTGCACTGAGCAGGCATTACCTTTCTAATTAGAAAATAATCAATTATTATAAAATAACACTCTATGTTTTGTAGCACTTTATAATTTACAAAGAGCTTTATCTAATTCTTCAACATTTGCTTGAGAAACATATAATCCATGTTTCATAGATGCTGAAAATTGAGATTGACAGAGTTAAATGACTTGCTCGATGCCACACAACTAGAGCTAGTTAGGATTCAGACCCAGATTTTCTGACTCCCAGTTCATCGTCCTGAAGAAGTTGGAAATAAAGGTTTGAAAAGTAAAAATGAATTTATCTTTTGGAAAGCTGGAAAGAATCACAGAGGGTTTTTGAAGCAATAAGTGACGCTTGAGGCATTTATCACAGTGTAGTTTTAATTTGAATCTCTGATTACTAATGAGGTTGAACATATTTTCCTGTTTATTGCCTGCTCTCGTTTCTTCTCTAAATTCCTCTTCATGTGCTTAGATCATTTTTCTATTGGATTGGTTGGTCCTTTACTTATTGATTTGAATGATTGGAAAATATTCCAGATGCTAACACTGTATTTATATTAATAATTTATTTGTTGGAAATATATTCTTCCTGTTTCTTGCTTATCTGTCTTTTTTTTATTCTTTCAATTTTGATCATCAAGGCAGTATCTACTGGGGAGTGTGTGGGGAAATTAATGTGTTTGCAACAAGAGGTGTCTCAGTTTATTTTGACCTTGTATGATGGGAAGGAGGATGGGAAGCAGGAGACAGAAGAGGATGGGATTGGAAGACAAACCACACGATTAGGAAATTCATTTACTAGTCATTTGTCAGTTGCTTACAGTTATTGGCCACAGTGTTCTGGGCCATGTGATAGATGGAGAGTGAAGAATAAATGTTTTCTACATTCGAGGACCTTTTACCTTAATGGAGAAATGAGAGATGTAAAATAAGACAAGTAACACAGTATGTGCTCACGTAACTATGGTACAAGATAAGCTGTGGCTATCAAAAATTATATTCCAGCAAAGGGGAAGGAGACATTACTTTTAGTTAATTGAGAATTGTTTAAGCAAGAAGTCTATACGTTGAGCGAGAATAAGGACTGTGTGTGTTTCTGCTCAGCATTTTATCCCCAGCACTTAGCAGAGTGCCTAACAAAGATCAAGTGCCCAAATATTTGTTTAATGATGGAATGATGTTAGCGTGTGTGAGCAAAGCCTTTTATAGGGACCTAACACAATGTGTTTAATTCATCACTCTACACCACCACCAGGCAGCTCTGAGAATGTTCTGATCAGCATTTCAGACATTAGCTTCCATTTCCAAAGCAAGGTAACACAGCCTTTTCCAAAAAGACACACGGCATGCTCCCTTATCTTACCATTATAATAGCAGTAGTCCAAGATTTTGGCTTCACTGTCAGGCAAACCTGAGTTTGAGTCTCATGTCAGTTACTAACTAGTTATATGACTCTTGATTTCCTTCACCTATAAAATGAGACTAATAGTGCCTACCTTACTGGGTCATTGGAGAATCAAATAAGGAAAGCATGTAAAATACTGAGCCATCATAGGGGTTCTATAAATATTCCCTATGCCTCTTCTCTTGATGTACACTAAAATGGATGGAACCTGTGATTGCCTTTGGATTTTGTGATTGGTCCATGTTTTCTAACCGGCATATTCTATCTCCTCCCTCACAGATTCAGAGACATATTGTGTGTTTCAAGACAAGAAGTACAGAGTGGGTGAGAGATGGCATCCTTACCTGGAACCTTATGGGTTGGTTTACTGCGTGAACTGCATCTGCTCTGAGGTACAATCTCCGATGGCATTTGATTTCCTACTTTGCTCCTCAGCATGCAGAGATGCTTTCAAGTGCCTAGATGGCCAGGGAGCATGAGTGATAAAAACGTAAAAGGAATTAGGAAGCAGATTGTAAGGAAAAATACACATCTCCTGTCTTTTTCTTCTGTTGCCTTTTGGCTTGATTTTCATGGGATCTCGATGAGTATTTGCTATAGATGGATACTTAATGGTCTCTTAGCCAAATGATACAGGACATGGAAAAAGTGGAGTGGAGGAGAAAGCTCAATATAATGCCTGGATTGTGAGACAGTGTCATTTTTGAATACCACTTTCAAGCCTGGCCTTTAGAGAAGAGATTAGGACAGATTATAAACTGGTTCATATGGAGAGTGTATTTTATGTTATTTCAGCCAATGACTGTAATTAGGATTGAGGTTGTGAAACCCTGGCCTGTACCTTGTGAGGATTAGAGTTCTCTTGGCTTGGCCTTGGCTTCAGTCCAGTCACTCAGAGAGGCATTTGGACAGCTTAAATGCCATCTTTGCAATAGCCAAAGCAGGTAGTCCCATCTTTCCATGGCCCTGACCCAGGACCACAGCTATGGTGCATCTTTCCAAACAAGCCTCTACCATCATATACTAGGCCAGGGTTTCTCAGCCTCAGCCCTGTTGACTCTTGGGGACAATTTCTTGTTGTAGGGAGCTGTCCTGTGCATTGTAGGATATTTAGCAGCACCCCTGGCCTCTACCCACTAGAAGCCGGTAGCACCAACCCCAGTTGTGACAACCAAAAATGTCTCCAGACATAGCCAAAGTTACTTGGGGAGCAAAATGGCCCCTGGTAGAGAACCAATGCATTAAGCCAATTGGGAAAGGAGGCCTTGTACTAGGCCTTGAGGATTGAGAATTCTGAACATATAGAAAGAATTTTCAAGACGAGCCTCTCACTTGAGACCTCATGGATGAACTGCAACTCCTCGCTAGCGCCCAGGTAGAACAGGAACACTCACTTGCAAGCCTGATTCTTTTGCCATTTGAATAGAAACTTGGGCTTTCAGAATTTTGAGCATGTGGAAACCTAACCTTCAGGCAACATTAGGTGGTCTTAACAGGCCACAGGGCTCTAGAATCAAGACAGACCAAGTTTCCAAGCCTGGCTCTGCCACTTCTGAGCTGTGTTATGTTCAGCAAGTTATCTAACCTCTCTGAGATTCCTTCAACTTCTTCTCCTTTAAAATGGTATAATGGTATTACCTATTTCATAGGGTTATGGTAAGGATTAAATTCACTAATCCGTCTCAGTCGCCTAAAACAGTGCTTGGTCACAGTCAGTATTCGAGAAATGCTAACTGCATAACATCACTATCATTATGGTTATTATTTTTATTAACCTATTAACTCTAGAACAGAAATCAGTATAAGGCATTAAGGAGGAATCAGTTGAGACCTCAGCCAGGTGCAGTGATTTCTGATATGCTTTGGTGATCTCGCTTCAAGATGACACCACCTGGCTCTGAGGAGTGTGACATGTAAGGAGGCTCCGTGGTGTTTCCAAACGCAATGCTCCAAAAATTTATTCTAGAAGATACATGAGAAAAGAAAAAGATTTGTGGTAAGGTGATTCAAATTGGGGTAAAAGAAGCCTGCCTCTTTAAATAGCTAGGGCAGTTATTAAATAGAGCATCTGGAGACTGATTAACTGCCTGGTATGGCATGATTGTGTCAGATTCTTGACCCATCGCATTGGAAATGGACAGCTGACCCTTGGGGGATGAGGCTTTGCTATCTGCAGGGCAGTGATAATGTTACTGTGATCCCAATGCCAATGGCTCAAGTGCTAGGCATCTTCTCTCTACATCCTCTTCATTACCCTCTTCCCCCACAAAAGCCTGATGGATACAAGTAACCCGTACTTCAAATGAATTATAGATGGAAAATGTTAATGCAAAATTGATTTCCAAAGTCTTCCTTTGTTCTAGCAATGGCTGAAAGCTGCCAGAGCTAGGGATCTTGTCACTGTAAATCAGGCAGGGACCCAGTCTCCCCCTCCCCCAGTCATACTAGCTAATCAGTTCAATTCCAAACTCTAGCTTGTTCTCAGTAAAATTCTGACTTGAAAAGGAAACGAGAAGAAGGGAGCACTCAGTCCTCGGGACCAAGGAAGAGTTATGTAGAATCCAGGGTCCATGTGCTAGGGCTATCTCCTTGCCCAGGCGTGGGTAGCAGCTCAAGGGACCCATTGCTCATTAATCCCTTCCTTCCATGACATTGGACAGGTGATTATGAAATCACACTAGGCTCTTGGAAAAGACGTGAAGAACTGGGGAGTGGTAGAAACGTCACAGAGCCAAGTCAGAAGAAGCCTCCCAGTAATTGTGGGAGGCTTTGAAAACTGGGGCAGTAGTGATCCTTAGAAAAATATGCCAGTAAGCTATCAACCAACCCAGCGGAGGTGCTAGTGATGAGAAAAGGAAAGAAAATGCTGATTTCATTCAGTTTCTCGGGAATGTGTTATTCACTGTCTGGGTGAGTCCCTGCATGACTGTTTCCCAAATTGACATGATCCCAGTGACCTTGAAAAACATTTATTTTGTTATTGTTGTTGCCTCTCTCTTTCAGAACGGGAATGTGCTTTGCAGCCGAGTCAGATGTCCAAGCCTTCATTGCCTCTCTCCCGTGCATATTCCTCATCTTTGCTGCCCTCGCTGCCCAGGTAAACCAGTTCGCCTCTTTCTTTCCTGGCTCTCCCTCTTCCACCAACCCACCCCTTTTCCCTAATTCCTCAGAAGGGGAAACTTCCAGACAGGAATAACAATAGGACACTTTCAGGCAGCGCGTGACCGGCCTCTAAATACTGTTTATAGCCCAAGTGGGCTCTTCAAGGCTCTAATAAGTTATTGGGTACCCAGTAACAGATTTTCATTAGGCTTTTAATCATTTGAAGGTGGATGTCAACTGGGGGGAGGGAATTGTGGCCCAGAGATTTTTCTTCCATAACCAGCCCCTTCCTGCCATGGGCAGCAGACACCAGGGGAGTTGTAGCATGGAGGCACGTGTCCTACACAATTAGTGCTGGAATTGCATTTGAGCATAGCTTCTAAATGATGAGGGGCTATTCAAAAAATCAAAGGAGCTGAACCAGTGGGGTTTATGACAGTATAAAGCTGCCTGCCTGCTCCAGACTGTACAGTTATTATGTATACATTGTTCAGAGCAAGGCTAAGGGGAAGGCAGGCAGAGACTTTTCCCCAAGGCTATTAGGATGTCTGCCTTCATGGTTTGTGGCTAGGGTGTTTGAGGCAGGGGCTGTCTCAGTGACACTTTGTTCACATCTGGGGCCTGGCTCCCACACCAGAGGCATGCAAGCACGGAATGATTCAGGGAATGCCCGTGGGCCTGACAGCAGTCCTAGGTAAGTGATCATCTTGCCATCTAGGTAGTAGAAGCTTTGTAGTCCTGTGAGTTGATTCTGTTTCCCTTGAGGACAGAGCTGGGGTCCATGGGTGGACTTTGCGGGGTGGTTAGCAAACCTTTTAAAATTGTTTGCAGTTTTTGGTGTAACAATGTATGTGTGTAAATTCCTTTAGAGAAGATCCATAGCTTTATTGGTATTCCTAAAGGGGTGTTCATGACCCTAAAAACATGAAGAACCCCTAGCCTCTGGCATAAATGATGCTTTTTAAAAGTAGTGAGGAACTTCCAGAACTTACAAGAGGGAAACCAAGAGTGTCAGGGCAAAAATGGTAAGAATGAGGCTAGGAATGAGGTTCAGTGACAACTCGGTTAACTGAAATGTTACAGGAATGGAGATTTTGCTGAATAGAGAAGAAACCCCCAAGACCTTTTTGTCACCACCTTTATAACTTATACTTTCTTACATTGGTAAATACACTCTGATTCTTCGGGAGTCTTTCCCAGATGGCAAAAGATCATGCCATGTCACAGGTTTATCATTCTGAGTATTGGTGACCATAGTATATGCTTCAAGATATGAGAGACTGACTTGGCATATCATCAACCTAAAGGTTGTTCTTTGAAATAAAATAAATGAAGTTTACCATTCTTGTGTGTGTTTATTTGCTTCTTCTATTTAAACTGGATTACAAGGGTGTAGTATGGGAGGATTCTTTCTTTTTTTTCATCTGGCAGGTTGCCTGTCAAATAGCCTTATAAAAGCTGCTGATCCCAGAAGTCTCTAAAAGTGGTCTAATGTCATAGGAATTGATCTAAATGTCTGTGCAGAAATTGTTCTTTCCTGGGAAGGAGGTTGGGGCAGGGCCCAGACATAGAGCATAGGGTGGAAGCGCACAGAGTGGAAGATGGCTGTCATCTACCCCAGCTGCATAACAGGAAGCAATTACTGAGAAAAATGGAAAGTATAAGCTAGCAGTTCTTTTGAGAGAAAAAGAAAGTATTAAAAGAATTGAGGTCATAAGTCCCAGAAAAGATAAAATGGAAAGAAATAAACACCATTATCTTTAAGAAGACTTTAAAAGCCCATTTTATGGAGTATAGAAACCAGCTGTTCATTTCCTTTGCCTTCTTGTTCTCGCAGGTCACTTCCTTGTGAGTTCATTTTTCTTGTTAACTGTAACCTTTAACAGTTCTTTCCGTGGGTAGTGATACTGAAGTTCCCTAATCCTTATATGCAAAAATGTTTTTATTTTGCCCTCATGTTTTTAAAATATTTATTTATTTACTTAGGCTGTGCTGGGTCTTAGTTGCGGCACATGGGATCTTTAGTTGCAGCAGGCAGGATCTATTTTTTTAGTTGTGGCATGCAGACTTCTTAGTTGTGGCATGTGAACTCTTAGTTGTGGCATGGATGTGGGATCTAGTTCCCCAGTCAGGGATTGAACCTGGGCCCCCTGAATTGGGAGTGCAGAGTCTTAACCACTGGACTTCCAGGGAAGTCCCTTGCCCTCATTTTTGAACGATACTTTGACTGGGTATAAAATTATAGGTGCACATTTATTTTCCCTCAGCACTTTGAATATATTAATAAATGGTTTCTTGACTTCCTTTGTTTGTGGATAAGAAGTCTGCTCTGGGCTTCCCTGGTGGCGCAGTGCTTGAGAGTCCGCCTGCCGATGCAGGAGACGCGGGTTCGTGCCCCGTTTCGGGAAGATCCCACATGCCGCGGAGCGGCTGGGCCCGTGAGCCATGGCCACTGAGCCTGCGCGTCCGGAGCCTGTGCTCTGCAAATGGGAGAGGCCACAACAGTGAGAGGCCCGCATAACGCAGGAGAAAAAAAAAAAAAAGAAGTCTGCTCTTTGATTATAGTTCTTTCATAGGTAATCGTCTTCTTCTTCTTCTAGCTTTTAAGATATTCTGTTTTCTTTGATGCACACAATGAGGTGTTTTGATATATGATTTGTTTTTATTTAGCCTGCTCAGCACATGATTTTTTTTTCAGCCAAAGGACTCAAATTTCTCTTCAATTTTAAGTCATTATTTTTGTGAAAATTACCTCTCCTTCTCTCTTTTTGTTCATTCTTAATCTTGTCTTTGGTATATGCCATTGCAGCTCATTTAATTTACACTCTGAGTCTCTTAATGTCTCCTTTATTTTTCCCCCTAATGATATATTGGAATACTCCCTATAATGATATATTACTTCAACTCTGTCCTCCAATTCATGAATTCTTTCCCCAGCTTTTTCATGCCTACTATATAGACTATCTGTTGGGTTTTATTTGTTGTTTTATTTTTAATAACTGTATTTTCCCCAATAACTGTATTTTGAATTATTGATATATAAAAATCTACAAATTGCCATTTTATAAACCCCTGTAATTGTTTCTTGGGGTCTTATTCTCTTATTTATTTCTTTAAGGTATTTAAATATTTATTTAAAGTCCATTTCTGATTGTTCAAATATCCATTTTTTTTCAGCTGTGAATTCTCACTTTCATTGGGTTTCTTGATAGCTTTTCTCAGTTCCAGATTTCCGCTTGTTTTCTAAAATTTTTGTTTAAAAACTCATCATCCGTGGGGTTCTTGTCTTGCATAAGTCCTTCCTTTCTTGTGGTATCATTGTTTCAGGCCTTGTAGTTCACTTAGCACTAAACCAGGTCATAAGTTGGTGTCCCACCTTGGGACCTCAGCTGCAGCTGCCCATCTTGGGCCATCTGTCCATGTGAGGGAACCACCTTGGGTGGGCAGAGCTATGTCAGCCCCTGTTTACATGTGAGGAGTGTGACTCTAGTCCCCAGCTTTACATAGGAAGCCATTTATAGGCCATAGTTCTTACTCAGCTGTCTAGATATAACTGTCCATATCTGGTCCCAGCTGCCAGTGGACCATATCACTTTGGCCCCCATTTACTGCTGTACTTTTGCCTGTGTTTTATTTCATAGAGAGTTTACTTTTGTTTCTGAGGATGATTTTGCAGTTTTAAAGTTTTATTTATTTATTTATGTTTACTTTTATATTTCGTCTCTCACTCTTCTTTGTTCAGAAAATAGCAGGGCGTTTTCTCACGTGCTCTCTATGCCATATGGAACTGGGATGCAAACCAGCTATTCTTTTTTTTCTGTTGAAGATAAAACAAGAATAAACAGGTTTAAACCATAGCAGAGAAGAATGGAGTTTGATAAAAGAAAGAACTTTGGGACACACTGGTTGTTAAATCCTAGAATAAATGACTAAGGAGAATTTTAGTCTCTTTACTGCATATTTCTGGAAATAAAAAGCTACCCACCCATTTGAGAGAGTTGGCACAGTTTTGCTTTGAGACAGGGCAATGGATGTGATGAGTCCTCTGTATTCGTTCCACCCCAATGATTATTAGACATGAGGAAACTCATGCCTTCAGGGCCACAGGAATGTTTGGTCAAAGGAAGGGGCTCTAGTGTTCTGTCTTAAGCCAATGGAAGGCACTGTGATGAAAACGTCTTCACTGAAAAATAGAATATTTAAAGCCAAGATGATGAGCAAGTTCTATATCAAAAAGGGAAAACAAACAAGGAAGGCATATATGCAAGGTTTTACATACTATCCTACAGCAGTAGCACCTTCAGGGAGTGTTTACTGGGTAGTGATGGACTTTGTGGGAAGGGTCTACCTGCCATGCCTAGAGCCCATCTTCCATTGGAGGGAACAGAGGAGACTTCACCCCCTATCTGTTTCTGTGTGTCCCAGGGCTCTTGCTTTCTAAACTTCTTACCCCCTGAAATTTCCAAGGTTCTCACCTGCATTTGAGGTTGTCTCCTGTAGCTCCTGCTGACCCGTGGAAATCAGAGTATGCAGACTGCTTTTCCAGAATTACCAGAGAGAAATCGATACCGATTCCCATGAAGAGCAAGTGAAAACTTTTTCTCCAGCACTTCCCCAGGCCTCCATGGCAGAGATAAGTCTTGGTCACATACCACAGGGCTCTACTGGGTCCAGAGGCTGTGGAAGGTAGAACATTCGTAATGAAAAAGTCAAGACTGCACAGGAGTGAGAAAGGTCATTAAGTTCATCCCAGTCTCTAAGCAGGACTCTCTGTTGTCCCTGATGAAAGATTTGTAGGAATGGAATTCCATATCTTCTCTTTTGGGGGAGTTGAATGGTAAAGGGGGAAGGGGGAGAGAAAGAATATGACTTGCTTCCTTCTGTTCTTTAGGTATAATTTTTATCACCAAAAGATGACTTTTATAGTGACCAGGAGCCTAAATCACGATATTATCTAACAGTTTTCTTTCTTTTTTTAAAACTTATTTTTATTCC